AGAGAGAGAGAGAGAGAGAGAGAGAAAGAGAGTCAATCACCACTTTTCTTGATGTCTTCAAACTCTTTCCAAACATCTGCCAAATTAATGGTGTCGTCAAATATCAATTGTCCCGTCGAGTCGAGTGGATAATAGTCTTTGTCCTGTTTATAAGGTGTCGGCCAATGGATGAGCAATAAATCCAAATAATCAAAACCAAAGCGCTTAAGACTGCGCTTAGCGCTGATGGTAGGCCTACCCCTTGCCATCCAAGTGCACCACACTTTGGTCACTACAAACAAGTCTTCGCGCTTTACTTTGCCGGCACTGATGGCTGAGTTGAGCGCTGTTCCGATCTCTTCTTCGTTGCCGTAAATGTCGGCGCAATCGAAGTGTCGATAACCAGAGTCTATGGCACTGGCGATCACTTCTACGATGTTATCGGCGTTATAAGTGCCCAAACCTATGACAGGCATCTCAAAGCCGTCGTTCAGTTTCACTTTCGGCACCACTGATGGCATTCCTCTTCCATAGAGTACTCCACTCTCACGTCAACCCAAATATAATTTCAATTTGAATTAATTTCATTTCAAATTGAGTGCAATTTAATTGTTTAGATTCTCGAGAATAGAGATTATATAAAAGTGTCATAACTTTTGTAATGCTATAATAATTAATAGGTTATTGACAATCTCTTATTGTATTTTATCCCAAAATTTTAACTTTTTAGAAATTGTTTCATTTATTATTTTATATATTTTATAATTTAATTACATGTTCTTTATTTTAATATTTTACACATTTTGTATTAGCTTTAAATTAAAAACTTAAAAGCATATAAGTAAGAATAGTACAAGTGTATTGTTTAATCTGTTTATATATTTATATTCTTAACCTTAAAATTAGTGACAAAAACCACATTTCTGGGATTTATTATATGTTAATAACCTCTCAAATTTTTATTATTAATTTATGCAAAAAAGTGTAACAAAAGTTTTTTAATAATATTACATAATATCCATCAATAAATGAATTGTTTTAAAAACAGTTCATTCAATACAAATCTATTATTATAAAGTAAAGGATTGCATTTCAAAAGTAAAGAGCGTTACACACAAAACCGTTACACAACCAGGGGTTGGGAGGGGTTTGCCATAGGATTTGCATATAGAAGGGGACAGAGTTTG